TTGTAGAACAAGTAAAACACTCTTTTTAAGCTTGCCACTCTCCCTCTGGCTTGCGCTCTGCCACCTCAAAATCTTTCTAGGGCTTCCTTATACCTACAAGATATGATCATAGGATCATGATGCATATAATACCCATCTTGGTCCTGCCCTCAGATATTCATGTCTAGTTGGGGATGTAAGACGGATATGGGAAAAAATCATAAATAATACAAAGATAAGTAACTAAGTAGTCAACCAAGGTATAGGTAATAAGTGCTAGAGGAGGTCACCAAAATAAGTCCTTTCACCAAGGATTGGAAGGAAGCGGGTAGAAGGTAGGATGAATTTCTCAGGGAAGTTTAGGATTTTAGCTAAGTCTCAAAAGGTCATTAAGACTGAGACTAACAGAGAAGAAAGGAAAACCATTCTCCATTTGGAATAAGGAGTGTGTTTGCTGTTGTTCAGTCGTTTCAGTTGTGTCCAACTCTTCGTGACCCCATTTGGGGTTCTCTTGGGAAAGATACTGAAGTGGTTTGCCATTTTCTTCTCCAATCATTTAAGGTAGTAGAATTCAAAGTGAAGGGAGAGGCTAGGGGACAAGCCCTGACCTCAAGGGGTAGCACAGTTGGAAGGACCAGTAATTACCCAGGTTCTTATTTAATTTATTTTTTCCTTGTGACTCATAATTCCCTTATTTCAAAATAATTAACATCGATTGGGTTGGGAAAATTTGGCTGGGAAAATTTCGGGTTGAAACAAGTCTTTCTTTCCTGCAGCATCTATTTTGAAGGTTTGGGATTAGTAGCTTAGGTCCCAGAAGTCTTCGCCCTGGCAAGGTTGGGTTTGGCTGCCTTAGGGTCAGTGAGCCTTGGAATCACTGGATTTGGTGATTTTAGAGTCTGACCTGTTCCCACTGGCTTTGGATGATTTTGTCAGATTGCTTTTCTTAGCGTCAGGAGTCTAAGCGAGCTTGGTAATCTTAGGGTCAAAGGCTTTGGCAACCTCTGAAGTTTATTAGCTTTGTAGCCTTGGGCAAGTTCTTTAATTTCCCTGGGCCTCAGTTTCCCCATCTATAAAAAATGAGGGGTTGTCATGTAAGGTCCTTTCTGACTCTGGGAGTACAGCTTTGTGGTGCAGTGGACAGAGTGCTGGACCTGGAGTCAGGAAGACTCATCTTCCTGAATTCAAATCTGGCCTCAGATACTTACTGGGCAAATCACTTAACCCTGTTTGCCTCAGTTTCCTCACCTGTCAAATGAGCTGGAGAAGAAAATGGCAAACCACTCCAGAATTTTTGCCAAGAAAACCTCAAAAGGAGTCACAAAGAGTCAGACGCGACTGAAAAACGACTAAACAAGCATGACTAGGGTGTGAGGGGCAATGGTGTATAAAATCAACTTGGAAAGATTAGTTGGCACCAGATTATAAACTGCTTTAAATGCTAATCAGAGGAATTGTACTTTTATCTTGGAGTCAACAGATAGCCACTGAAGCTTCCTAAACAAGAAAGTGAGTGGGGCTAATCGCTTAACCTCTCCGGACTTCAGTTTCATCATCTGTGAAATGAGGAGATTTGAAGAGATGACCTCTGAGGGCTCGTCCCACTCTAAATCTATAAACCTAATGATCTTGATAATCTGGATGGAGTTTCTGTTTGAGCATTTTCCTACTCACTCAGGATTCCATTCTGAGATAAGTCACACCTATCTCTGCTGCCCTTCAGAACCCCCTTTTAATGTAATGGGGATAATAATCAGACCAGTTTTCCAGGAAGTCACTGAGTTTTTTAAGATTAGGCGCTCTTGAACCACTCTGTGTGTGTGTGTGTGTGTGTGTGTGTGTGTATGTATATTTATGTATCTTTGTATGCATATGTATCTGCATGTATATGTATATATGTATCTATATATGCATATATAATTATGCATGTACAAATATATATACACACATATACATATATATATATATATATGTATTTATACACACATTTTTTTGAAGCTGCCAGTTTGGACTTGATTATTCCCAGATTTTGTCATGTTTAATCATGGGTTACCCCTGAAGCCTAGGACAGTTCCAGGTGCTATAGAACCACTGACATCAATCAGTTTTAATAGTACCCATTTCAGAGTAGTTTTGAATTTACTTTCTTTGCCTCTGAGAGGATAAAGAAGGACCTCAGGATCGCCTTACCCTGGCAGTCAAGTCTCAACTAGAGTGATCCAGGACATCATCTCCGCTCTCTCCTGACCGGCCATTTTAGGCTGGGGTCAGCCCTGGCAAGAGATTAGCTTAGTCTGGTGATACCAAGATGCGACTTTTAGCTAAGGGCCAAGGCAGGGCTGAGATTTTTTCTCTTTGCCCATTCTCATTAATATTCAACTTCTTAAATTCAGCAGCCAAACTTAAACAACATTCTGAAGTACTACTATCTCAAGATGATACATAGAGAAGAACTCAGAGTTTGTTTTTGTTGTTGTTGTTGTTTTTCATTCGTGTCTGACTCTTCATGATCCCATTTGGAATTTTCTTGGCAGGGATGCTGGAGAGGTTTGATATTTCTTTCTCCAGCTCATTTTACGGATGAGGAAACTGAGGCAAACTGAGTTAAGTGACTTGCCCAGGGTCACCCAGCTAGTAAATGTCTGAGGCTAAATTTGAACTCAGTTCTTCCTGGCTCCAGGCCTGGAGTTCTATCTACTGCACCACCTACTTAATATTCTCCTGCACAATATCATATATTCCATTTCTGTGCCTTTGCAGAGGTTACTGCCCCCCACCCCGGCTCCCCTTCCCCCACACCCCATGCCAGGCATGATCTCCTCCTAGATTTCATCCCTTAGAACTCCTAGCTCCCTTCAAGGCTCAGTTTCTCCTTGCTAGCACCCCTCCCCATTATTTTGTACATATTTTGTATCTAATTATTTCTACATGGATTATTTTCCTTCCAGCAGAATGTTTAAGTTTCTTGAGGGCAGTGATTGCTTGTTATTTGTTTTTTGTATCCTCTGCAACTAGCACAGTGCTTCGCATACAGTCATCACTTAATGGGGCAGCTGGGTGGGGTACAGCAGATAGAGCGCGGGGCCTAGAGCAGGAAGACTCATCTTCTTGAATTCAAATCTCGCCTCAGACACTGGCTAGCTGGGTGACCCTGGGCAAGTCACTTAACTCTGTTTGCCTCAATTTCCTCATCTGTGAAATGAGCTGCAGAAGGAAATGGCAAACTATTCCACTATTTCTACCAAGAAAACCCCAAATGGGGTCACAAAAAATCAGTCACTACTGAAAAGACTGCACAACAACAAAACAAAAATATTTAATGTTTTTAAATTAATTTTAAAAAATTATTAAAAATAAATTTAAAAAATTTTTTTCAACCAACAAAAATCTATTTTCTCTTACCTTCTCCCTACCCCTTTAGCAAATGCTTGTTGAATTGAATTGTTCGGTAGTAAGGTAGTAAGTGGTTAAGCTGGGGTTTGAACCCATGATTCCAAATCCAGAGTTCTTTTCACTGTGCAATAAATACTATCTAAGTGCCCCATTACTCCAAATGGATTGACCTTATGGAAACCCAGAAAAGGGAATCTGTCCTCTTATCTGTCCATCTTGATTTATCTCCTACTCCTAGCAGTACCTAATGCTTCGTTCCAGAGAACCTTCAAAGCAGCCGCCACACCACACCTCCAGGCTGTTATTTATTGAGCAAATTCCCTTAATCAAATGGTTGAAAATTCCAGCCCAGGCTCACCATGAACCAGTTTTATTTATGGCCCTGCTTCTTTGCAATGGAGATAACTGTCAGGAGTATATGATGGAAACTGATAACAGCTAGATCAATAGTGTATCTGAAGCACCGCAGAGGACAAAGACAGCCAGCTCTAGGAGGAACAAAGGCCAGTCGGAGAATGTAGCCTAACCGGCAATGTGCCCAGCAGCCAAGCCCTCTGGCCCTCCCCAGGGGAGAGGTCTCTGGTTAGGGGCATAGTTGCTGTCCATCCCAAGCAAGGAAGTTTCTAGGTAGGATTTGGACAAAGGCCCTAGTATTCATGGGAGCTTCTGCTCTTCATTAGCTTGAACCCAAGAGATGAGATTGGGGCAGCTAGGTGGTGCACTGAACAGAGTGCTGGCCCTGGAGATGGGAGAATCTGAGTTCAAATCTGACCTCAGAAACTTACTAGCTGTGTGACCCTGGGCAAGTCACTTAACCCTGTTTGCTTCAGTTCCTCATCTGTAAAATGAGCTGGAGAAAGAAATGGCAAACCATTCCAATATCTTTGCCAAGAAAACTCTAAATGGGGTCATGAAGACTTGGATACAATTGAACAGTAACTAGACCCTCCGGTGTTAAAGAAGTAATATAAATTAACATTCGTTGCAGAGAAGTCAGTTCTTTCCAGAACCCGAGCTCCTGACATCATCTATCTGCCTGCCTCAATTCCTTCCCTCTTCCATCCAGGCTGTAAATAAAGCTGCTGAGAGAAGTTCCTGCTATTGCAATCCATGGTTTAAGAGGACTAAGAGTAGTGAAGGACTACTCACACCAGCATGACCCAGAGGCAGAATTAGGGTGAATTGACAGGGGCTTTGCTTCCAAGGCACTGAAAAATCAGATGGCACTACTAGCAATTGCAATCTTTGAACAGGATAGCTCACAAACTTAGTGCCTCATTAATGGGAATTAGTAGGTTAAAAACAGGAAGCATTCTTCATATACTACAAACGAGTTCCTCCCTAATCCCTTCATAACTCGGTCTCCTCTCTTTAATGCATACTCCTGCCCTCTTTAGGCTCCTTGGAGTAGCCTGAGTATAGGGGGATTTTTGTCTCCCCACTATAACGTGGTATCCTGGTATCTTTTCTCCCCATCCACTTGATGGCATTTGTCTCCAGAAATTGATCTGGAGGCATTTTTTTTTTTTTGTTAATGTTTGTCCAAGGAGCCCAAATTCTCAGTCCCTCTCTGGCATGACTCTCAAAAGGCTTCTGTGGGACATTGAGGCAGAATGAGAGAAGCGTACCTCCTTAAGGGTGGAAGGAAAGGAAGTCTCTTGCAGATGGAACTGCGGCACACACTGGAAGGTGACGGTGAGGACGATACCAAGGCAGCCCAGGTGCACGAGGGAAGCCTTGAATAAGTCCGCATTGCTGGTCTCCGAGCACTCGATTACTGTACCTGCTGCTGTCAGCAGAGATAATGCCACCACCTGGAACGGCAAGAAAAAGAAAAACCACATCTCAGACCCATCAGACTTCCTGATCTGATTAATCATTCAAGCCCAAGCTCACAGTACCTGAGGGAGTGAACCTAAAGACTGGGGACTAGAAAAGGGGGTAGTATCTGAGGAGGGGTAGCTTATGCTTCTCTGGAGAGCTAGGAGCTAAGAGGCGAATGGCCAGCACCACATTTTAAATGAGGTCATGAACCTCCAATCCCATGAAGCCTCTGGAAGCCCTAAAGAGGGAGCAGCATCCCAGCTTGGGGCATGGAGGTGATAAATTCAGCTGTCTCCGGTTAAAAGTCAAATATCAGGTGTAAAACACAGCTACAAATGTGGACATTCTAGATGCTGGTACTAACCCTAAGAAAAAGCCAAAACCCCTTGGACTCTTGGCTTTTCTCTTACTTTTTTCTTTTTTTTTTTTTTGCAAGGCAATTGGGGTTAAGTGACTTGCCCAGGGTCATACAGCTAGTAAGTGTAAAGTATCTGGTCTGAGACCAGATTTGAACTCAAGTCCTCCCGACTCCAGGGGAGGTGCTCTATCCACTGCACCACCTAGCTGCCCCTGGGCTTTTCTCTAGATGAAGTGTGACAACCACAGGGAGGTTTACTTTCAAAGGAAGAGGTCTCATGGTCTCATCCTGGTTTTTTTCCCCTAGCCCTATTGCTTCACTATAGGACTTGGTTCTTTGTGCCTCAGTTTCTTTCCATATCCCATAGGCAGTAATACTTTCTACTAATACAGAAGAGTTATAAGAATTTCAGTTCTTCCAACACAAAGATGTATCTGGGAAAAGCGAAATACAAAGCAAGTGCCTAAGTGTGTATGCGTGTGTGTGTGTGTGTGTGTGTGTGTGTATACACAGAAGTACACATACACATGTGCCCCAGTCAGAGTAGGAAAAATAAACAGACTGCTGTGAGCGCCAGACCTTTGAGAATCAATAAAGCTGGGTTTGATTCCTAGCTTTTGACTCTGCCGCTAGCTAGCTGTGTGACTATGGGCAAAGTGTCACAGGAACCTTGGCCTCAGTCCTGGTCACCTGATTCCCAGTGTCTTTGAGACTTCCCCAGGAACCCTGTTCCAGGTCACTCACATCCTGAACTCTGTCTTCGCCCTAGGGAGCCCTGCATCAATCCATTTGCTTCTTGGCCTCTGTCTCCCCCCTCATCAGAGCCTCCCAATTCATCTTGTATCTAGGCCATAGATGAGGGCCTTTTTGCTCCAGAGATTTTTACAGTTCTGTGGAGGCCTTTCTTAGAGCTGACCCACTTTCAACCATTTGCTTCTGCCTACTGTGTGACAGGCCTCCTGAACCTTGACAGATCACTACTTGTTCCAAGGTTGGACCTTAGGGAGATCCTTGAAAAGTCTAATCATCTGCCTCCCTCAGTAGACCTCTCTCCAGTCCCTGATACTCTGCCTGGTCTCATTCCTCAATGGTTAGCATATTTTCACCTCATCAAACTTTCCCGATCCCAACGATTCTGAATCGCCAGCTACAGAAGTACACACCCTAATACCTAATCCCCAACTGCCTGATACCCTATCTCCCGCCTTATCCAGGCCCCAATGTCCAACCCCATATCTACCTAACCCTTCTGCATGCTAGTTCAATAATTAACAAATTTGCTTGCATCCTAAACCTTTTTCTTTCTTATTCCTTCTATCTTCTAGCTCTCATTGAGTTCTGGGCTCCCTTCTGATAAAACTGCACCCCTAGCTACTCTGGTTACACATCCAATCATAGACCAGTGGACGATGACTCCAGGTCACCCTCGTTCCTTCTTCTATGAGTTCTGTGACTTACTCACAGTCTTTCTCTCCTCCCCTGATAGTAGGAGACTTCAACATATATATCGATACTTCCCCCAATATCCTCACTTTCTAGTTTCTCAATCTACTCAATTCCCATGACATTCTCCTCCTCTCCATCTCAGTTACCCACAGAAATGGTCAGATCATTGATCCTGTCATCACCAATAACTGTTCCACATCCATGTTCATGAACTTTGAAATCTCTTTATCTAAAAATAAAATAATAACGGCTAACATTTATGTAGTGCTTAATATGTGACAGGTACTAAGCTAAGTGTTTTACAAACGTTAACTCATTTTATTCTCACAATAACCCTAAGAGGTAGGTGCTATTATTGTCCCCATTTTATAGTTGGGCAAACAAACAATGAGACTACTCTAATACTGAGACTGATAGTAAAGTGATTTGCCCAGGGTCACACAGCTAGTAAGTGTCTGAGGTTGGATTTGAACTCAAGGCCCACCTTACTCTAGGCCCACCAATCCATTCATTGTGCCACTTTGCTGCCTTATCTGATCATAAGATCAGATATCGCTCCATCTTTCCCCCTACCTTATGACCCCTAACCTTGTTCTTCATCCTCATCATGACTTCCAGTACCTCCATCCTAAGTTTTTCCCAGGCCAAAACTCCTGCAGCATCTACCTTTTCCTCCTTTCTCTATCTTGACCCCTTAGTAAACCATTTTGACTGGACCCTATCCTCTCGACTTGCCCCCTTGTCCAATCAAAGGTCATACCTTGGATCATTGCCCAACCTTGGACTACTCCCACCAACCAAATACCTTCTTATTCTGTCCCTGAAAACATCCAATTAACATTCAAGCAACCTCTTCCCCAGGCACTGGGGATCCAAGTACAAAGAATGAAATAATCCCTAATCCCTATTCTTCAGAAGCTGGCATTCTAATAGAGTGAACAGAAAATAAATACATGAATATGCAATAAATATATACAAATGAGGATTGAGCGTATAAGATTAAGGCCTTATTCATGTCCTAAAATATTAAGAAATAACATTAGGAAAATATTACATATAGAGTTCTTATTTTCACTTGTAAAGACCTAAACAGTCTTCCTGAAACTTAATCAGCTTCAGAGAGGGATCTTAATTTCCTGAGACTCAGAGCTTGTCTTGTAAATGAGTAATAATCTCTTCTTGTTTAATTCAATTAAGAGAAATTTCTCTTTGTACACCTTGGACTAGATTGAATAGGGGAATTAGCGGAGATAAAGAGGCAGTGATTGGGTTGGGAGAGATAACTCTCTAAGGGGGCCCCCTACATCTACCTCATTGTTGCCTTTGTTGGGTAGATTAAAAAAAACAACAACCCAAAATCAAACTATATACCTTCATTTTGTGTGGTGGAATTTTGTCTTTTAGGATTGCTATGAAATATGAGAGGACCCTTCTTGGGTAAGAGATATTTCCAGTTATCGAGGGGGCAAAGGAGGGAGGGAAGATGGAAGGAAGGAAAGAAAAAAGGAAGGAAGGAAACATGCATTAAACACCTATCGTGTACCAGCCACTGTGCTAAGCACTTTACAAATATCATTTCATTGGATCCTCAAAACAAACCTGGGAGGTGTTATTATTATTATCCCCATTTACAGTCGAGGAAATTGAGATGAAAAGAGGTTAAGTGACTTGCCCAAGATCATACAGCTAAGTGTCTCATTTGAACACATTTGAACTCAGGTCTTCCTGATTACTGGTCCAGCCTTTACTTACTTGGCTGCCTTATGTAGCTGCCTCTAGGGGACTGGGGACTTGGACTTAGGCTGTCCTTGACCTTGAGTATAAGTCACAGGGCAACTAAGTGGTCAAGACTTTTCATCTTCCTGAGTTCAAATTTGGCCTCAGATACTTACTAGCTGTGTGACCCTGAGTAAGTCGCTTAACCTTGTTTACCTCAGTTCCTCATTTGTAAAATGAGCTGGAGAAGGAAAAGGCAAACCACTCCAGTATTTTTGCAAGAAAACTCCAAGTAGGGTCATGAAGAGTTGGACGGGACTGAATAATGAGACCACAAGTCACCTGACCCCTCTGAGTCTCAGAGTTTCCTCATCTGTAAAAATCGTTTTAAAGGTTTTGTTTTTCTTTCTTTTTCTTTTTCCTTTTGTTTTTTCAGCCAAAAACAAGGTTTATTGAAGATTCGCCATATTAGCTAGACTGTTAAGGAATCTGAGCATCCGTGAGCTATTGGCTAGATTGTGAAAATCTGAGCAGTGGCTAGATTATAAGAATCAGAGCCTTTTTTCTTTCTTTTTCAAAGAGGAGAGGAGGTAGGAAAAGAAAGTGGATGTGTGTTCATTAAAAAAAAACAAACCAATTTTTAAGCCAAACCTAAAAAAGGAGAAAAAACATTTGAATTTTTTCAGCACAACAAAAAATAAATATATTAAATACTATATTAATATAATAATAAATTAAATATATTAAAAGAGAGTTGGACCAGATGACCTCCAGCAGCCCTCCCAGCCTTAACACCTGCTTCACAAGGTTGTTATGAGGATTAAATGAGATCATGAAGGTTAACTTTGTAAAATGAAGAGGAAATGCATTATAAAGAACACTGAATCTGGAATTGGAGGGCCTGGGATCAAATCCAGCCTCAGGGGCTTACTCCCTGTGGGACCTTGGCAAATTATCTCCCTGGGCATCAGTTTCCTCATATATAAAATGGGAGGAAGGGTTGGACAAAGGATCTCTGAGCTATGTGTTATCATCCCACCTCTTACACCTACTACCTCTGTGATCTAGAGCAAGTCCTTTCATCTTTCTGAGCCTCAGTTTCCTCATCTGTCAAATAACAAGGTTGGCCTTGATGAACCCTTCTAGTTCTAACTTTGTGATCTTAAGTAATATTAATTATTATGATGGTGATCCTATGTCATGGTGGGCTGGAAAATCCATGCTCACCTCCACTCATTCCTCGGCTTCCTTTTGTTTTGGGGAAAAGGCAGAGAGCCCAGGACTGCAGGTGGCACTTGGGAAATTAACCGTAACTTCCCCTATGGCCTTCATTTCCAAATTAAAACTCTCTTCTGTTTCCCCCTTCAAATGTTCCTCCACACTTTGTTACCTGCTGATTTGGAGGAAAATTGCTTTTGACAAGTACTGCTGATGCTGTTGTGCTCAGGGTGAAAGAACAGATAACGCTGAACTAATTTCTGATTAATCATAGTCCAAGTTTGTGGGGTAGAATAAGGCCTCTTGCCAGCTGGGGATAGGAAGGATCCAGAAAAAGCTTTTTTAAAAAGGTAAGATTTCACATAGAAAATGAGTGAATTGTGGTGTCCCATTCTAATTCTGGGGTTCAGGAACCCAACTGAACTTTAGACTATGAGGCAGCTAAGGGGGACATTGGATATGGTATTGGACTTGGAGTCAGGTCATTTGTTTTAACAGGATGTTCAGTCGTGCCTAACTCTTTGTGGCCCCATTTGGGGTTTTCTTAACAAAGATACCGGAGTGGTTTGCCATTTCCTTCTCCAGCTCATTTTACAGATGAGGGAACTAAGGCAAATAGGGTTTGTGATTTGCCCGGGATAACAGTGTCTGAGGCTACATTTGAACTCAGGTCTTTCTGACTCCAGGCTCAGCACTCTATCCACTGAGCCACATAACTACCCTACAAGGAGCCCATACACACAGTCTTCTAACTCCCAGTATGTCCCTCATGTCCAGAATGTACTCTCTCTTCAGTTGGTCAATCACCAAACATTTATTAAGCACCTACAGGTAGCTAGGTAGTATAGTAGATAAGAGTACCAGACCCGGAGTCAGGAAGACTCCTCTTCCTAAGTTCAAATTTTAACCCTGCTTGCCTCAGTTTCCTCATCTGTCAAAAGAACTGGAGAAGGAAATAACAGACCACTCCAGTATCTTTGCCAAGAAAACCTCAAATGGGGCCACAAAAAATCAGACATGACTGAAACAACTTAACAACAAAAGCGCCTACTATGTGCCAGGCACTGTGCTAAATGCTGGAGATACAAAAAGACAATCCCTGCCCTCAAGGAGCTCACAGTCCAATAGGGGAGACAACCAGCAAACACATATATACAATCAAGTTATGTAGGTGATAAATAGGAAATAATTAACAGAGGAAAGACATTAGAATTAAGAGGGGCTGAGAAAGGCTTCCTGTAGAAAATAGGATTGTAGTTGGGACTTAAAGGAAGCCAGGGAAGGCAGGAGGCAGAGATAGTGGGAGAGTGTTCCAGGCATGGGAGACAGACAGAGAAAATGCCCAGAGTCAAGAGATGCAGTGTCTTGTTTGAGGAAAAGCAAGGAGGCCAGTGTCAATGGATTGGCGTACATGGGGAGAACAAGATGTAAGAAAACTGGAAAGGCAAGAGGGGGCTAGGTCATGAAGGGCTTTGAATGCCAAGCCAAGCATTTTGTATTTGTTCCTGGAGTCAATAGGGAACCCCTGGAGTTCGTTGAGTGGGGGAGTGATATGATCGGGTCTGAATTTATGGAGTGGGGATGGTGTGTGTGTGTGTGTATGTGTGTGTGTGTGTGTGTGTGTGTGATATGCCGGAACCTTCACTTTAGGAAAATCACTTTGGTGGCTGAATGGAGGATGGATTAGAGTGAGGAGAGACTAGAGGCAGACAGACCCACCAGCAGGCTACTACAATAATCCAGGCTTGAGGGGATGAGGGCCTGCACCAGAGTCGGGGCAGCGTCAGAGGAGAGAAGGGGGCGTATCTACAGACCTGACAACAGACCAGTCTTCACTTTGGCCTCGCAGAATCCTAGCTTCTTGTAGAGCTCAGCTCAAGGCCCTCCTCCTGTGGGAAACCTATCCTGATTGCCCTGGTTGCTAGTCCCCCATCCCTCCACCAAAAGGTCTTTGTACCTACTTTTTATGTATCTTATATTAAGTTTTCTGAGCAAATGTTGTACCCCACCCCTCTCCCCCGTAGAACATTAAGTGTTTTTAAGGCAGGAAATGTTTTATTTTTGTCATCATATCCCCAGTGCCTAGCACACAGTAGATGCTTAAAATTGCCTCCTGAATGAATAACCATTTTACAGGTAAGGAAACTGACCTAGAGAAGTTAATGGACTTATCCATAATCAAACAGCTTCGGCCGGGTCAGGGCCAGGACTCCTGACTCGAAGATCACCAGCATTTCCACTACGTTTACTGTCCCTCAGAGGTGAATGAGAACTTAGGGGCCATCTAGTTCAATCTCCTACCCCATGCAGTAATATGCCACCCGTGATGGCTGGTTATCCAGCTTTGCTATGGAAGAACCCAGGACTTTCCAAGGAACCAACTCTATTACTGATTGGCCCTGAGAGTAGCAGGCTCCCTGAAGGATTATGTTCCAAAAGAGTAGGCATGAGGGGCAGCTAGGTGGCACAGTGGATTCAGGAGGACCTGAGTTCAAATCCAGTCTCAGACACATAACACTTACTAGCTGTGTGACCTTGGGCAAGTCACCTAACCCCATTGCCTAGCCAAAAAAAAAACAAAACAAAAGAGTAGGCATGGTCTAGTGAATCTGTTTTATAGCAGATTGCCCTTCTGAGTGGTGGGACCTGACCATTGCTGGTGGTCTGACCCAGACCTGCCCCACACTGCTGTTCCCAAGCATCTTCCTGTCATGCCACAACGTATGTTAGGTTCCCTTCCTCCCACCCCTTTATAACTCTAGCTCTGGGAGCAGTAATCAGATCAATACAACCAATGCCAGGAAATGATGAGCCAATTGTTCTACGATCCCACTCACTATCCCTGTGCCTTCTCTGTCCGAAACACTCCTCCCTGGCCACCATGCTCCTACTTTATTGCTTTTCTTTATTAAAATATAAGCTGAGAGAGGGCAGAGGCTGGCCTGTTTTTAGTATCCTCAGTACTTAGTACAGTACTGGCATACAGTAGGTACCTAACAGATGCCTTTTTTTTTCACTTATTCATGCTAATAGCAACAATATTGGTAATAATAATAGCAATAATAACTTCTATAGAGATTTAAGGTTTGCCAATTGCTTTATATAAATTATCTCACTATGACCCTGTGAGGTGTATATTATAGAGAGTATTATTCCCAATTCATTGATTAGGAAATTGAGGTTCAGAGGGCACAGAATGTACCCACGGTCATATAGGTAGTGTCAGATGTGGGATGGATTGGAACCCAGGTCTTCCCTACTCTAAAACCAGCACTCTACCCCAACTGATGAAGTGCTAATTATGATTTGATTCTATCACAAACTTACCTTTTGCAAGGTAACCAAGGCATTGAGGATTAATTTCATCTCCTTGAAGTCTCATAGGAAATTGCCATCTTAGGAAGGATCAAGGCTCCCTAGTAAACCCTGGCTCAGGGTAGCAGCCTTAATCCTTGACAGATTTCAGCCAAGGAACTGAGCTCTTCCTTCTCCTAGGAAGAGTTGGCTCCCCTGGAAATAAGAATGGATCCTTTCCAACTTTCACTCCTCTGCCTGAGCCCGTGATTTTGTGAATTACCTGCAGTTAGTATGTGATACTGGCATGGAACTCCATTCTCACCTGAGTCGGCAAAATGCCATGCTTGATTCCCGTGTTGTGGGTCCCTGTGCCAATCACACCAGCAGCAGTGACGTCTGACACGGCTCCCAAGCTGTGCCCACCAGACAAGGAGGCGGAAAAAGAGAAAGGTCAGAAGCAGTTAATTTTCCTTTGGAGGATAGATTACTTTTCCATGAAACAGTTGGATAGGTGTGTGCAGACCTAGGCCAGAATACCGAACTCAAGTCTCAGCCTGGCTGCTGTGTTTTGTCCTTTTCCCTTCCGATTCTAACATCCTGGTTCTCCTTTTAAAGCAACATGTTTATCCCAAGCCCTGGGGAGGTCAGAGTTCAAATCCTAGGATAGGAGTTCTAACATAGGTAATATGGTAGAGTGAGAAAAGCCCTAGATTTAGAGTCAGACGATGGGTTCAAATCCCGACTCTCTGACTTATTTACTCCCTGATGACCTCAGGTAAATCACTTCATGTCCCTAGGCATCAATGTCTTCTTTAATTAAGAAGGAATGAGGTTGGACTAGATAGGTCCTTTCCAGCTCTAAATCCTGTGATCAGTCAACAAGTATTTTTTTAAGCAACTACTTTGTGTCAGGCATTGGGCTAAGCTCTAGGGATACGGAGATAAAAGTCCCTGCCCTCAAAGAGCTTACATTCTATTGGGGGAGACAACATGTGCGTATATCATTATAGACAAGGTAAATAAAAGGTAATAATGGAGGGGAGGCAGTAGCAATCGGGGGAAAAATCAGGAAAGGTGTCTGGTAGAAGGCAGTGCTTGGGCTGAGTTTGGAAGGTTTGGGGAGGCAAGAAGACCTCAATTCAAATCCAGCCTCAGTCAATTACTACCTGTGTGACCTTGGGCAAGTCACTTAACCTCTGTTCACCTTGGAGGTAGCTAGGTGCTGCAGTGGATAGAGTGCTGGGCCTGGAGTCAAGGAGACCTGAATTCAAATTTAGCCTCAGACTCTTACTAGCTGCGTGACCCCGGGCAAGTCACTTAACCTCAGTTTGCCTTAATCCACTGGAGAAGGAAAATGGCAAACCACTCCAGTACCTTTGCCAAGAAAACACAGCGGACAACATGGTCAATGGGGTCATGAAGAGTGGGGCATGACCAAACGGCAACAAAAGAGGGAGAGCATTCTGGGCACCAAGATGGGAGATGGAGTGTTGTGCGTGCGGAGCAGCAGGACGGCAGAGTGAATAGTAAATGATAAAGCTGGAAAAATAGGCTGGACTCGGGTTGTAAAAGACTTTAAATGCCAAAGAGCCAGATCAGCAACGGGGAGGCCCTAGAGCTTACTGAATGGCGCTGACACGTTGGCACCTAGAATCTCTGCACCTGATAGACTGATAACCGCTTCCTCTGCCCTCCTTATCTCCAGATCTATGACCCAGGGCTCCTGGCTCTGCTCACTGGCTCTGACTTTCTTGGCTAAGTCACTTGAATCCACTGTACAACTAGAAGGTTGGAAGAGATGAGGTTGAAGGGCCCTTGGAGCTCGAAATGGGGGGACTCTGAAGCAAAGTTTCTTAACCTTTTTGTGTGTCTCGGATCCCTTCGGCAGTCTAGTGAAACGGCCTAGGGACCTCATCTCAGAAGAATGGTTTTAAATGCGTAAAATAAAATACATAGATTTACAAAGAAAACCAACAATATTGACACAGTTATCCATTTTTTTTAAACTCACTATCATTTGTTCTAAGGGAGTGGAAGGGAGGAGAAAGACATTGGCAGAGTCAGGAACCTGAGTTGCCCTGAGTTCAGATACCGAATAACATAACGAGACGCTCAAACTCAGCAGGGAAGCATGAGCGAGGCGGCTCACCTTCATAATCCCCAGGAGACTGAATGGGAGAAAATTCTAGCTTTCCTTGATTAATGATTATTGACAATTCTTTATATTATTATACAAATTATATTTTATTGTTTATTTTATTTATTATATATATTGTTACCTATTTTATATTAAACTTTTATTTTAAAAATTATGTAAATTTAATTTTTATTTTCTATTATATAAATATATTTGTTTAACATGTATTTATTATATAAATTTATTTTATCATATAAATCATTATATTTTGTTATATGTTTATTATGTAAATATATTTGTATTATTTATTAGTTTTATTGTTCAATTGTTTTCAGTCATATATGACTCTGTGACCCCTTTGGGGGTTTTCTTGGCAGAGATTCTAGAGTGGTTTGACATTTCCTTCTCCAGATCATTTTACAGATGAGGAAACTGAGGCAAACAGGGTCAAGTGACTTGCCCAGGATCACATGGCTAGTAAGTCTGAGGCCGGATTTGAACTCAGAAAGATGAGTTTTCCTGACACCACCTAATTGTTCATTATTTATTGATATTATTTATATATATGTGTATATATATATATATATAATATTCTAGCCCCTTAAGGTTACAATGCACTCTGCATACTTTACCTCATTCAATCTTCACAACTACCCTTCAGGCAGCTAGTGGAACAGTGGTTAGAGCCCTAGGCCTGGAGTGAGAACGACCCGAGTGGCTTCAGTCACTTACTAGCTGTGTGACCCTGGGCAAGTCATTTGACCCTGTTTGCCCCAGTTTCCTCATCTGTAAAATGAGCACAATAGTACTTACCCCCCTAGGGTTATGGGAATCAAGTAAAATAATATTTCTAAAAGTGCCTGGCACATAGTAGGAGCTATATTAATTTTTGCTCTTATTAATATCCTTCAGAGGTAGATGCTACTATTTCCATTTTGCAGACTAGGATAACTAAAACTCAGGGAGGTTAAGTGATTTTTCCCAAAGTCACAGAGCTGGTGAGTATTGGAAGTAGGATTTCAGCGCAGAATGGTGCTCATCTCATTAACTCCTATCCCCACTCCTGAGCTGCCTCCAGAAAGGGAAATGGAGCCCACCAGACTGGAACAAATCTGTTTTTAAGAATATGGCAGGGACTGTGCATTCCCCTAGGATAGAGACCATGACCACATTCTTATCATGAACAGGGTGAGAGAAATTCTAATACTCCAGAAATTAATGCTCATAATTAATAAGAACAAATGTCTTCCTGTCCTCATTGGTCACAGACTCTGGTGTGAAAAGTTCCTACTGAGATCAGAACTCAGCAGGCAACCCCTCCCTCCCTGTTTGGGGGCCATATCCTTAGGGTGTTAATGATTACTGAGAGCCAGTGAGCAGAGACCTAAAGTCCTGACCTTGAGGCATTGATAGAACAGATAGCTATCAATGCAGTACGTTTGCAGGGCCACAGAACCAAAATAATTCTGCAAACTGCTACCTAAAATCCCACAAATAGAGATTCATTCCTTTGGCTTAGTTTTGGACCCCATCAAAATGCCAGTGCCCTGGGAGAGCCAAATGCCTTACCATCTCTGCCTTCACAGGTTAAAATTTCATCTTTTCCTAGGCTCTTTCTGTCAGAGCATGTGATTTGCTTGTTTATATGCCAGTATTTCAAAATTGCTGAGATATCACCAGTGTGGGTGGCTTGGAAAGGGAGCAGGCAGAAGATGCTGGGTTTGTACCTTCGTTCTGCAACTTATAGGGCTGTGAGTCTATAGGTGAAAGTGACCTTAACGTCATCCGGTCCAAATCTTTCATTTTACCCATGAGGAAATCAAGGCTCAAGGTTACCCAAGGAACAAGGCTGAGGTCTGAAGTCAAATCTTGTGACTCTTTTCCACTGTACCACACTGTCTCGCTATGTAACTATGGGAAAGTCACATAAACTGGAAAGTGTGCCAGATTTGGAGTCACAGAAGATCTGGGTTCAAAGCCCAGTTCTACAACTTACTACCTGTGTGACCTTGAGCAGGTCTCCTTCTGAGACTTGGCTCCTTCTATGTAAATGAGAAGGTTGGACTAGCCTCTGAGGTGCTTTCCAGTTCTGTATGAATGATCTTATGATCCTACAACCCTCTCTGAGCCTCAATCTCCCCATCTGTAAAGTGGAGATGCTAATACTTCCACTACTTCCTACCTAATAGGACCATTGTGAGGAGAACTCTTTATAACCCTTAAAGTGCCAGGTACAGACGAGTTCTTGTTATCACCCTCTCCTAAAGGATGCTGAAATACAGCCGTCCTGCTGCGCCTTTGTTAGTAGTTTTCATGGGCTGTTGTGGCCAAATACCATCATTGTCACTAACCTTTTGGTTCTCAGAACACAAACCTTGTCAGTCCTAAGGTCCAAATTCAAAGCCTTAACAGGTTGGTAGGACCCGCCATGTGTAAGCTCTGCTGGCATAACCTTTGAGGACCCAAGGTCAACCTCCCTGCTATGATGAGGATGACTAGTAGAAGCTCTCCTTTGCTCTTCCCAGAAATCCAAGTGTCCAACTGGACAACTTGGCAGGAGTGAAGAGAATAAGCTGGATTTTAGACTCAGAGGTTTTTGTGGTTCATTCGTTTCTGACTCTTTTGGGGTTTTCTTGGCAAAGATACAGGGTGGTTTGCTATTTCCTTCTGTAGCTCATTTTACGGAGTAGGAAACTGAGGCAAACAGGGTTAAGTTACTTGCCCAGGGTCACACAGCTAGTAAGTTTCTGAGACCAGATTTGAACTCATGAAGATGTGTCTTACTGATGCCAGGCCTGGCTCTCTGTGCACTATAGCGCCAAGTAGCTGCCCCAAAGTCAGAGGATCTAGGTTCTAATCCCAGCTGTGTTACTCATTTCTCTGTGTGACCTTGGGCAATCAAAGAAGAGCCTACCAGGTCCTGTTAAACAAAGATAAAAGAGAAACAGATCCTGACCTCAAGTTCTGTTGCCTCTCTGGGCCTCAGTTTCCTCATCTGTAGAATGAAAAGATTGGAGTTGATGACCTCTAAGGTCCCTTCCAACTCTAAAGTCTATAATGCTATGACCTGGGGATAAGAGAGAACCAGGAAATCAGTCCCCCCTCTTAAGGCAAGAAGTCACCACTAAGATAGGAGGGTCTTGCTTACTTGGCAAGTGCCAGGCCATGCTTGCTCAGCTCCACATTCAAGTCCCTCAGGAGGATGCCAGCTTCCACCGTGACTTGACGCTTTTCCTTGTCTACCTGCAAAGGAACAGAGTTGGGCTGGAGAGCAACTCTACCTTGCAGAGAAGCCCTTGACAGTCATGCTTAACTGAAGGTAAAAGCAGTTGGTTGTCACAGTGCATAGAGTACCAGATTTGGAGTCAAGAAGACCTGAATTCAAATACTGCTTCATACTTACTAGGTTTGTGACCCTGGTTAAGTCATTTAACCTCTACATGCTTCAATTTCCTCATCTATGAAACGAGGGGGTTGGAATCTCATTTTGACGGCCTTCAAGGTCCCTTCTGGCTCTATCTCTGTGATCGTATGATACTTCTCTGATGCAGGCTGCATTTGTGGTGGGAATGCCCCCAGACCAGCTGAACTGCCCTGGAAAACTAAGGGTTATATGTAGCTAAGTTGAGAGGTTTAGAAAAGGACTAGAGAGAAAGAAGTGACCTAGGAGATCGTCTAATTTGGGAATAGAGGCCTGGAGCAGTTAAGCAGCATGCCCATAGTTAACGTCAGGGGGAGGGCTTCTGACTCCCAATCCTAGCAGGGCTCATTACACAGGCATGTCCAGGTAACGGCACCCATTACCCTGCATGTCCAGGTTTCTTTGGGCAGCTGTCAGGTCACTGACCCCGTGGGACTATGACAGCGGCAAAGGGTCCTCCGTCTCACTAGAACTCTGAACTCCCTTTGCCTTCTTCCCAAACTAGACTGAGTTTTTAATTAATGAAGCAACAGGAGAAAAGATGGACAGAAAAAAAGGGTGACTGGATGCTCCAGCAGATACTTTAGGGAAATCAATTAGTATAATTCTGCTAATTTAGTCACTCTTAATTACCACCACGGCTGATTTCTTGATGGAATTTTCAGGAAAAGGCTAACACCAATGGGCCTGGATGGTTAACCAATGGAATTAGATGAGAATAGGACCTTCAAGGTCATCTTCAGAACCTTCTTATTTTACAGATGAGGAAACCGAGGCTTAAAGAAAGGAATTGACTTGCTCAAGGACTCCTACACCTTGTTCTCATCTTTTATACTCTTCAATCTAGGAACACTGACCTCCTGGCTGTGTCCCTGGAAAGCAGCATCCTCTCTCCTGACTCTGAGCATTTTCCTTGGCTGTTACCTCTTCCTGGAACTCTCTCCTGACTCAACTCTACCTCCTGGCTCCCCTGGCTTTCTCCAAGCCTCAGTTAAAGTCTTACCTTCTGCAAGAAGGTGGGGCCCTTTCCTGATCCCCCTCAACACTAGGATCTTCCCTCTGGTGATTATGTCCAATTTATTCTGTAAATAGCTTGTTTGTACTTAGTTGTTTCCCCTATTAGACTGTAAGCTTCTTGAGAGCAGGAACCATCTTTTGCCTTCCTTTGTATCCTCGGCACTTAGCCAGTGCCTGGCACATAGTCAATGCTTAAAATAAAGGCTGACTTGAGTTGACTGATGAGTGACACACAGGCAAGGAGCAGAGCTGGAATGAGGCCCCAGGTCTCCTGACTCCAAATCCAGCATTCTTTCTTAGAGGCTGATAAGAAAGTGTGCATCTGGTTTAAGAGAACTAGTTAGAGGCTGGTTCTGCCAAAAATCACAACCGGAAGGTCTTTTTAAGAACCCTCCGTGGGGTCTATAGTGTAGTGGGAAGAGACCATTCTAAGACCGTTTCTAAATTGAGGCTCTTTTTTTTCAGCAAGGAATGCAGAAGCTCAGAATAAGAGAGGACCTTGCACCCACTCTCACTGTAGGAAAGCTTGGAGACAACAACTTCGGAGCGTAACGGGATCCTTACAGTGACAGTGATAGCGGCGGTTCCCCAGCTGTGCCTTCTCCCCAGGGTGTCTGATCTTAGCATCAAGCCCTTGGGATGGAAGGCAGGGCTTGTCAGACTCTGGGGCTCTCAGAAGGTTAGAAATCTATTGGTTTATGGGGTTACCTTGAGGATCCGGTTCATCTTTCCCATATGGATCATGAAGCCATCAGTGCAGGCAATATCTGAGGGTGAATGGCCTCCCCCAATTGCCTTCACACGTTTGTTTTGCTGCCTGGCTAGGTCCAACACCTGTAGAGACATCAAGACTAGGCTTAGGACCTTCTCTCCCTCCCCCCCTTTTCCCTTTCTTCCTTCTTTTTTGCCTTCTTTCTTTCCTCCCTTCCTTTTCTCCCTCCTTCCCTCCCTCCTCTCTTTCTTTCTTTCTTTCTTTCTTTCTTTCTTTCTTTCTTTCTTTCTTTCTTTCTTTCTTTTCTTTTTTTCTCCCTTTACTCCCTCCCTCCTTCCTTTCATACCTCCTTCCCTTTTCCCTTTCTCCCTTCCTTTCACACCTCCTTCCTTTATTCTTCCTCCCTCCCACTTTGCTTCCTTCCTTCTTCCATCCCTTCCTTCCTTCCTCCTTACCCTCTTTTTCTCTTTCTTTCTTTCTTCTTTCCTTTACTCCCTTCCTCTCTCCTTTCCTACCTCATTCCTTTTCTCTCTTCCTCCCTCCCTCCTTCCCTGTCTCCCTTCCTTCCTTCCCTCTTTCTTTTCTTTCTTCCTTCCCTCTCTTACCAGTATCTCTTTCTACATTTCACAACATTCAGAAAACCAGGATAAGAACAATGTTGCACACCAACACATGAAAAGTGAATCTAGTCCATTCCCACTAACTGAGTCTTTTTTTTATGTTATCTATATTTTTTGTTTTTACGTAGCTTTCATTTCTCCATACATGTACCCTCCCCAACCCAGAGAGCCATCCCTTATAATAAAGAATAAAAAAAGAAAGCTCAACAGGCAGTTCAACAATCCAACACAGTCCAATACGGCTACCCACCTTCATAGTTCCTTACCTCTGTAAAGAGGGTGACCTCTACTAAGAAGAAACCATGGCTAAAAGCCAAAAAATCATCATGCTAGTAGTAAGCTTTCTCTTGGAAGGACATGATGAAAGAGAGGAGTGAGGGAAGTCAAGAGAGGGCTAAATCTAGAGAGAGGAAAGAAACAAGTAGGGATGCATCTAGGGATGGGGAAGAAATTGAGTGGAGATGGAAAGAAATAAAAGTAGTATGGCTTAATGGGTAGGTGTTGGGCTTCCAATCCTTCCTCTCACACTGTCAGTTTTGTGACTGAGAACGGCAATCCCTTTGGCCTTAACTACAGTCAGTTCTGCCATAACTTGATATATACATTCCTAAAGATCATTGGTCTATGCCAAATTGAGCAATCAAGAAACAAGGCTTATGGGAAAAATTAGGTTGGGGTACAAACATTCAGAAACTTTATCAGTTACCCACTAAAAATGATAGAGAAGTAAGAAAAATGGTAGCACAGTTTTATACAGGTAAAGTGGTTAAGAAATACATAAATATGGGGGGGGGCGTGCAGCTAGGTGATACAGTGGATAGAGTACTGGCCCAGGAGTCAGGAGGACCTGAGTTCAAATGCGCCTCAGATACTTGACAATTACTAGCTGTGTGAGTCTGGGCAAGTCACTTAACCCCATTGTCTTGCAAAAAAAAAAAAAACAACTAACCAAACAAAAAAGAAATACATAAATATGACAATAAACAGTGGCAGGCTGCTGCTCTGTCTAGGAGATTCTGGGACTGGGGTAGGGATAGGGAATAGATTATATGGATAGGGACCAACCCTTCTCTGCCCATATCTCTACCTGTACCAGAAGATACAATTAATATGGTACTTAGACATGTCTAGGATGTTGAATGAATTTTGTTGTATATAGAAAAGTTCATAAATGTAAAAGAAGAGCAAAACCCAACCTTGTAGAATAACACATGAAAGGAACTGAGGTAGTTGGTAAATGTTTGAGACGTATGACTTTGGAATACTCCTACAAGGTTCTGTTCAGCTGGGCAGTTTTTTTTATTTGTTTTTTTGCTGTTTCTTGAGGAAGAAATTGAGCATAAACAAACTCAAAATTCATGTTCTGCTCAAATTGTTCTGTAATATATCAATTGAATTGGAACAAATTCATGTTTTCAAAACAAGCTTATAGCAGAACCGACCTTACTTTGACCCAAAGGGTCACCTACAGTCTTGAGTTATGGAGTTCCCACAAAGGAAATTCTCCACCTTTGCATATTCAGGCAGGAAGAAATGCAACTAGCCATCATGGCTCAGAGAGTGAATTTAGCTAGCTCTTTTCCACTGATGGCTTGTTGTGAAATTTGGTGCTTTTCTGGGTCCAGGAAAGACAGTCTCTTGGGTCTCTGCTATAAGGAGAAATTGTCATGGCTCGTACTCTGATAGAAATAAGTTTAAAAAGGACACCAGAGGCATTTTATTCCAACTCCCTCATTTTACAGAAGAGGAAATTAAGTCTCAGGCAGAATAAATGACTTGTCCAAGGTCATATTGGTAGTAAGTGCCAGACGCAGGATTGGAACCCAGAGCCAGCATATCTTCCATTGTACCATGCTGTTTCCCTATGGATGGAACCAGACAGAGCTGTGGGTGGTCCCTGAGGGAGGCGTGGGGTAGGCTTCCCACTGTTGGCAATCTACTCACCTGTTTGACCTCTTCCACACATGTGGGCTGAAAGTACATCTCTGGGTGGCAGCCATAGGTCTTTGCCCAGTTCTGGAACTTGAATCCCTTATGTCCATGCACCTGAGTTGTGAAAAAAGTGAGATGAACAGCCACTTAGATGATGGGGCCTCAAACTCTCCAAGAAACCGCCTTTGCTTTCCAGAACTGATCCCAACCCACTCCACCCCCACCCACTCCACTTTCCAACCCTGCCCTGGCAGATGGGCAAGGGTATAGGAAGGTTGTTTCCATTTTACACTTCATAGGATTATAAATTTAGAGCTGGAAGGGACCTCAAACATTATTTGTTCCAACCCCTTCATTCAACAGGTGAAAAAACCGAGGACCAGTTCCCTAATGTCACAGAGGTGGTAATAGGCAGGATTTGAACCCAGATCTTGACCCCAAATGTAGCTCTCTCTCCACTCTACCACAAAACAGAGGCAGAGGAAACATTTTACCCAAGTCAGCACCCAACTGGAAGAGGACCAAGATTTCCTATACCCTCGTCGGGACTCTCTTTTGAAAGCCAGGTATAAGCCCCTTCTAGGCCTGGTTAGGGTTTTCTGAATGATGGCTCCTTAAAGTCAGCTCTGCTTGAAGACAGTCAGAAGTGGCCAGAGGGGCGTCTGCGGGTTCCCCATTATCAGGAAACAGGGGAAGTATCTTCTGACAGAGCTCATGAGTGGGAAGGGAGAACAGAACACATTAAGGTTGTAATTGACAAAAAGTTGGTGAGGAAAGAAAAGCATGGATTTGGGAAGATTGTAGTGGAGTTTGGAAGATAATAGGTAGTTAGTATCAGAGCAAGGATTTGAACCAGGGTCCTCTGGATTCCAGAGAAGCTAGGTGGTGCAGTGGATAAATGCTAGGTCTGGAGTCAGGAAGACTCATCTTCCTGAGTTAAAATCCAGCCTCAGACACTTACTAGCTATGTGACCCTGGGCAAGTCATTTACCCCTGTTTGCCTCAGTTTCCTCATCTGTAAAATAAGCTGGAGAAGGAAATGGCAAACCACTCCACTATCTTTGCCAAGAAAATCCCAAATAGGGTCATGAAGAGTTAGCAAGACTAAAAAAAGATCGAAAACAAACAAATACAACCTCTGATTCCAGAGTTAATGCTCATACCACTGTATTGTGCTGCCGTCCCGATCAAATGAAATCAAACCTTGTATCAAACATGAAAGGATACATGAAGTACTTTGCAAACCATAAAGCACAATTTAGCTATGATTCTTAAGAGACTGAGGATAGAGATCTGGCCTCAGGTCCAGAAAGACCGGAATTCAAGTGTCAACACTGAAGCATACAGGCTGTGGGACCCTGGGCAAGTCACTAACCCCTTAGTGCCCTAGACCAGAGGTGTCAAATGCACGGCCTTGGGAGATAGTTGACAAAATAAATAGGACTTCAATAGAAAGTAGATAATGTTAATATGTGGTTTTCTAAGCCAATACGCAGCCAGCCAGCGGGGATCCTTCAGTAAGTTTGATGACCAAGGTTCTATTTGAGTGTGACACTGATGATCTAGACAACTCGCTAAGAGGCTGAGAAGGTGCTGATCTGTATTATTTGTAGGGGAAGTTTCTTGATCAGGCAGCTCCCCATACCAATGAAATCGCAGATCCATTATTATTACTACTTGGGTCTAGTCTCTTATCAGAAATCACAATGCCTGTGAAGGCATCCCATCCTTGTGTTCTAAATGCAGTGCCTAAAAATTCCAGTACATGCATAAATAGCAAGTCCTCAGGCCTTTGAATGGGTCCCCTGCCCATAATCCTGGTGCCCAGCACCCTTGACCCCCCTTATCCCAATTTCTAAAGGGTCCCAGACTTAAGTCAGACTTCTGGAACTGACTAATGCCAATTCTATCATGGGAAATTTCTTACCATCATATGCAGCTATTCAGGTGCTCCTGATGTGTTTCTATCTCCCCTCTGGAAATGAGAAGGTCCTGGGCAGAGATCTCAAAGGAAAGGTGATTTTTAAAAGGAGAGAAGCAAGGAGCCCTCTCCCGGTTTCAACAGCCCCGCCTCAACTGCTGAGTCAGCCCTCAGGGATTTTGGGCTAGGTAATATGTAACTGACCCCTTTCCCCATTTTGGGAGATGAGATTATAGGCTGCAGCCCAGGGCACTGGGATTTGGGGGAGAAAAATTGCTGCATAGACCTCAAGATCATAGAATTTAGAGTTTGTAGGATCTTTCAGATCACTTATCCCAATCTCCAAAGACTTCTTTGGTGTGAGGGAAGGCAAGGCAGGGAGGGAGGGAGGGGAGTTCTTCCAAATGTACATCTTCCCCAGGTTAAGCCCAGGGGCTGAGGTCCAGGGAGCAAGAATGCTCCTGGACTTTCTGGCTTTTTGACCAAGACCTTTGTTTTGTTGTTGTTTGTCCTTTGTTCTGGAAGAGGACCATGACATCAGGGAGGCGATGCCATGACTTGCAAGTGAATTGGATTTAAGTGAGGCAGGGTTGTAAAAAGTCACTAGCCTCGCTTTCTCCTCTGGAACCATCTGGGTCCAGTGGGAAGATCAGGACAACTGGAGATACACCCCCAGATACGTTAAGTGCCTTGTCCAGGGACACAGGGCTAGTAAAGACAAGTCTTCTGACATCTAACTCAGTTCTTCCTCCTCCCTACCTTCCACCCCTCTTGTATCTACTTTTAGTCCGGCATATTTTTCACTGTACCACATTAGGTATGTACAAAGCACAATATCCCTGGTAATTTAAGCTATAGAGCATCCGCAGCTAAAGTGCTCCTAGTGAGTTACCTGAAAGGTACTCTGAGCAACCACTCCTGAACAACAGGGAAGGAAATGGCCCATTATAAGGCTCTAGGATGCTTCACTGCACTGGACTGCACTGGACCCACATTTGTTACTTAGGGGAGTGGTCTAGCCCAGAGTTATCCAAAGAAAAACATGGGAAAAAATTCCTACAAGAAGAATGGAGAGAAGAAAAAATCATAAACAAACAAAGGATAGAGAAGATAACAGAAGATAAAACAGATAACTTGGGTAAAATAAAAGTTTTTACACAAAAAAATCCAATGTAGCTAAGATGAAAAGAGAAACAATTAATTGGGAAAAATATTTACAGCAAGTTTCTCTGAAAATGGTCTCATTTCTAAGATTACATAAGAAACTGATTCACATTTATAAAAATAAGAGCCATTCCCTGGCTGATAAATGGTTGAAGGATATGAACAGGCAGTTCTTATAGGAAGAAACCCAGGCTATCTATAGCCATATGAAAAAATGTTCCAAATCACTGCTAATTAGAGAAATGCAAATTAAATCAATTCTGAGATTCCTTCTCACACCCATCAGAGTGACAAAACAGAAAATGATCAATGTTGGAAGGGTTGTGGGAAAATAGGACCTGTTAATGAATACAAACCTTTTGAAAAGTGATTTGGAATTATACACAAAAAGTTACTAAACAGTACATGCCCTTTGACCCAGCCGTGCTGTTAGATCGAAAAAGATCAAAGAAATAGGAAAAAGTCTTTTATGTAAAAATATTTATGGCAGTTTTTTTTTTGTGGTGGTAAAAAAAATTGGAAACTGAAGGCATGTCCATCAGTTGAAGAATGGCTGAGTTAGAAAGAAAATGAATAAAAAGTGTGATGTTTGGCTTTTGGTATGTGAGTAAAGTGATCAGTGGGCAGTTGTATGTATGTAAGAGAAGAGGGGGAAAGAGAGAAGAAAGGGGAAGGGGAAGGAGGGGAGAAGAAAAGGGGAGAGAAAGAGAAGAGATAAAAAAGGGGACAGAAAGAAAAGGGGGAAATAGAAGGAATCCCTCTCAGATTGATTATCTCCGATTTATCCTGTATGTATCCTTTTCGCATTATTTGTCTATGACTTAAGAAATGCTTGTTGATTCCACCTGACTTGACTTGAATAGATGCCTAGTCAGTAGTATAAGCAGATTGACTTTAGATGGAGTAGAGCATCTGGATAATGCAAAAGGGGTCTCTCCCTTAAAATAGGTCCTTGTAAGTCAGTCCTGGAAGGTTCAACAAAATAAGAAAGGGATGGGAGAGTGGGAGATATTATTCATCATTATTATAAAGTAGTTCTCTGCCTTTTTTCCCCTAACCCTCAACCCCAAGAATAAAAAATCAAAACAAAAAAACCCAACAATCTGGAGGGATTGTTGTTGTTCAGTCATGTCCAAATCTTCATGATCCCATGAACCATGCTGTCCAGGGGGTTTCTTTGCAAAGATACTGGAGTGGTTTGCCATTTCCTTCTCCAGTGGATTAAGGCAAATAGAGATTAAGTGACTTGATCAGGGTCACACAGCTAGGAAGTTTCGGAAGGAGGATTTGAACTCAGGTCTTCCTGCTAAATCACTGGCACAGATATTGATCCTCCAGAGACAAAATTATCTGCCTGCCCCATTTCCAGCATGGCAACGAGAAGTAAATAGAGTTTACCTTTGGTGCCCTCTACCTCCTGCTTCTTTGAACTGAAATGACTGAACAAAAGGTATACAAAGTCCTTCAGTGCTATCTCATTTGATCCTCACAACAATCCTGTGAAGTGGTTACTGTTATTATCCCCATATTACAAAAGAGGAAACTGAAGCCAAGTGATTTGTCTAGGTTCCTGTAGCAAGTGTCTGAGGCAGGATTTGAATTCCATTCTTTCTGAATCCTGAGCCCAGCATTAGAATCCAAGCCTTTTTTGTGTCTCCCAGAGTGGTATTTTCCCCACCGTACCATAGACATATTTCAGAGTCTGAGGTGTGGAAAGCTTGATCTCCAGAGCTCCTGGGGATTGGAGTCTGGGATCTGGGGTTCTGAAACACAGGTCTAGGCCCCAAAGTCCACCCTGCCAGAATACAGGTTCTACTATCCGGCTGGTGGCTGGTGTTTGTCTCTCCCACTATCATCCAGTCTCTCTCCTCCTGGCTCAAGACTCCAAGATGTTGTGGGTCCAGGTTCCATCTTCAATCTGTCCTCTCCCCATCCAGAGGCATTGCTCTGGGGTAGATTCTTACTCCCCACTTACAATTACACTGGTCTGTTAGTTACTACCTGGAATAAATACAACAGCCTCCAGGGCTCTAGCTCTTCCTGTTGAGGAGGAAGGAGACTGAAGAATATCTCCTGCTTATGAGTAGGGACATAAGGGAAGCCCAGTCCCAGTCCTTTGCCTTTGAAAGAGTAATTATCAGTGTAGCCAATAAAACCATCAACATGCATGCTGGTCAGAAACTCTGAAGCACTAATCAAAAAAAATCCTAAAAATTTGGTTTGGAGGTCTACAAATCATACTAATTATAATAATTACAATAAGTACAAGAACTCACTAGCTATGACTAATGATCATGTGCTCAATAGCTGTGGGTGGGGAGGAGCCGGTAATTAAAACCTGGATATCCACAGGTATCATTAACCTGTACATTAGGCATTACCCTTACAAGAGCCATCATGGTATTGAAGATAGAGTGCTGGACTTGGAATCAGGATGTGTGTTCAAGTCCTGCCTTTGGGATTTATACCAGCTAGGGGATCATGGGCAAGTTGCATACATCTTCTGAGCCTGAGATAACCCTCTAAGACTTCTCCACTAAGTGGAGTTCTCAGACCACCAGTCAAGAAGTATTTATTAAATGCTTACTATGTGAAAAGCTGCATGGTATGATCATAATGGTAAAACTAGTGTTTACATAATGCTTTATGACTGTGTGAGGAGATGAAGGAAGACCAATATGGTTGGATTGTAGAGTGTAAGGAGTGGTGTAAAGTATAAGAAAACTAGAAAGTTAGGAAAGGACCAGGTTCTGAAGAATTTTAAATGCCAAACAAAGGACTTTACATTTGATCCTGGAGCTAATAGGGAGCCATTGATGTTCATTGAGTTGGACGGTGACATGGGCAGACCTACGTTTTACAGTGTAAAATACATTTTACAATATACTTTAAAAAAATAAAATAATATCACTCTGGTGTGGGGCAGTTAGGTGGCATGGTGGATAGAGTGCCAAGGTGGACAAGAAGACTCATCTCCATGCATTCAAATCTGACCTCACTTACTAGCTGTGTGACCCTGGACAAGTCACTTAACTGTTTGTCTTAGTTTCCTCATCTATAAAATGAGATGGAGAAGGAAATGATAAAACACTCCAGTATCTTTGCTAAGATATGGGGTCACAAAGAGTCAGACATAACTGACAAACTGCTTGAACAACAATAACAAAAATGAGCTAGAGAAGGAAAAGGCAAACCACTCCAATATCTCTGCCAAGAAAACCCCAAATGATGTCATGAAAAGTCAGATATGACTGAACAACAAACACAAATCACTTTGGCAGCTGTGTAAAGAATGGGTTGGAGTGAGGAGAGAGCCAAGGTAGGCAAGGAGATCAATTAGAAGGCTATTGCATCAGGACAGGTAAAGATGAAGAGGATGAACTAGGGTGGTAGCTGTGTGAGTGGGGTGGAGGGGCAGGTAGCAGGTGGGGAAGTGCCTATAAGAGTGATATTGTGAGATAGAAACAAGATATGGCAACTGACTGGATGCATGAGGTGAATGAAAGCGAGGACTGGAGGATGCTGCCAAGGTTGTGATGCTTTCCCTAGACAGCAATACGGAAACTCAGGGGTGGGTTTGGTAGGAAAGAGGGTGAGTTCTCTTTAGGACGTGCTGTGTTTGAGACATCTATGGAACATTCACTTTCTTTTTTTTTTTTGGTAAGGCAATTGGGGTTAAGTGACTTGCCCAACGTCACACAGCTAGTTCTTGTCAAGTGTTTGGTCTGAGGCTGGATTTGAACTCACAACCTCCTGACTTCAGGGCCCACCGGTGCTCTATCCACTGTACCACCTAGCTGCCCCAACATTCACTTTCAAATGTCCAGCAAGCAGTAGCTATTGCAGGATTGGAGCTCAGGGAAGATGAGAAATTTAGGCATTACTAACACACCCTTGTTATTCTGAATAGGTTGTACTCATTGCCTCTGTGATATCAAGTCAGCAGAATTTTCGTTTATATTTCTGAAAAAAAAAAAAA